ATTGTTTTGTAATCCTTTCATTGATCCAAATATTTTGTTTGGATCAAGCTCTTTAAAAGTTTGTTTTTCTTATGACTTGTTAATTAAATATCGACACACTGACCTCGTTTTATACATAAATCAATATTTCTTAATAATTTTAGGCAGATGAAAGTATTTTTAAGTCACGCTTGGCTGCAGCAGATTCGTTGTACATTTATCTTTATGAGTCCATCACAAATCTAAAACTGTGTCTGTGAAAATAGCATTATAGATATATTTTTGTCTGAAAAAGAAGCCTTTCGTTCTGTACTAGTACTATCATATGGACTGTATTTTCTGTAAATAGTACAAGATAGTTAATGTAGATTGGCATTGAACGAAAAGGCTAATTACGTAACGATTTTGGACAGACAAAATATATGTTTGAAATTCAATTTCTATACAGTTGTAAATAAAAATTCTTAAAGGAGTAACTAAAAGGAACATGAAAAAAAAACATAAGCATGCAATCAACTTTGATTTTAGGCACTTTAGTTAGGCCTAAAAGTTACATTGTTTTGCCAGCTTAATCATTTTTACACCATAGATTTATAATATTGTTACTTGTTTTTTATTCCACACTGATCTTTCAGCGAAATCTTCGGTTTCATTTGGATATTAAGCTCCCAAACTTTAACCTTCACGTTTCCATCTCTAAATTCAAAGACACATTGGAGTTAATTATAGTGTAATTCAGGTGCTAATATGACTAAATACCAAATATCTCTATCTATCTATATATATATGCGTGTGTGTGCGTGTTATTATATTTTGTTACGCTCTAACTAGTTTCATCATTCTTTTGATTACGTTGGGCTTCTTAGTTTCGTTTAAGAATCTTCCTAAGATCACAGAATATTTCAAGTTTGAAAGAACACAATTTCTTTTTTTATTATTAATAAAAAAATTTCTGTAGGTATAAACACGTGCTTTAAGAAAATCGTACCTCCATTTTACCATACGTAAAGCATTATATTAATTATTTTGAATTATATTTACATGTGGAATTATTATTATTATTAGTATTATTATTATCAGCTTAACATTTTGCATTTCTTGTAATAAGCTATATATTTTGAATTTTTTTCTTGTTCTGTTGGTTGTTACATATATTTATTTTGTAACTGATTTCTCTTTACTGTTAGTATTTACTCTTTCCAGTGCCCTAAAGAAGAAAAACAAATTGAATTTATTAAAATTCTTAATTCCGTTTTATACTTCGTCTACTCGTTTTAATTTCTACATTTGCTAAACATTAATCAAACTTTCGTAAACCCTATATTCTAAACTTTCATAAACAAACGTTTAATATTTTGTTGGACAGCTGGAGCTGACCGTCTCCAATTGATAACAAATAGATTTGGTTCTTGATTCTAAACTCTATGAAATAAATCTTGCAAAATTGAATCAGTTTATTGGTTTTGGAAAAATGTTCAGGTTAAACTTTGTGAATATTTTGATCCACCTCCGATGTAATTCTTTTTAGTAAAAATGTCATAAAATAGCACTTGGTAGCTTTAACCTGAACAGCACCTTATGCGACACACGGACTAAATGGCAAAGTTCAGACGTAGTCATTACTATTTTAGAAAGATTGACCAGAAGGAGGTCAACCATCAGTAGCACCCTGATAGTTATTACTGTAATGCCCCTCTCCCAGTTGAAAGTGTGGAAAGTGCTTAAATACATAACGTGGCTCGAAATTTGGACCATTCAATTCCCAGCCTTGTACACGTCGAGTCGTGCCATAAACAAAAATTAAGTAATGATGCCATAAATTGGAGAATATGTTGACAATAAATTTTGAAAACTCCGCTAAACGTTAAGAAATAGTTCTTATTGCTTTTATCTGCGAGTTTTAAAAACTAACCAAAAAGTTTATTATCATTTTACCAGAAAATGGCTTTTAAATCTTAGTCATAAACACGAATTAATCAAGAATCAAAACGTCTAAAACACACTCATTGTTTCATGATTACTAGAATGTTATTTAACATTAATTACAAATAAAGTGACCGGGAAACTTTGAACTTGAAATTCTCTTTCTCACTCAGTCGCCCCCCAGTGGCACAGCGGTATATCTGCGGGCTTAAAACGCTAGAATTCGGGTTTCGATACCCGTGGTGGGCAGAACACAGATAGCCCATTATGTAGCTTTGTGCTTAATTACAAACAAACAAACTCACTCAGTCAGTTGATTAACTTATTTTTCCAACATAACAAAGCTGCAGACAGCAGGTGGATTTAACATAGATCTTTAGAATAACATGGAATATCAACATTTTCACACAAACCTAGATTTTATATTGAGTTGTTATGTAAATCAATAGATTTTGGACTTTACAAGTATATTATAGTGGACATTTTTTAAACCATAACTAAGACCCATAAAGATCCTATTTTCCATTTTACCGTTGGTTAAAAGAAAATATAATCTGAAATTTAATTAATCAAACAGTTGATCCGTTGTATAATATTGAACAATAAATTAAGCTCAACCCCATAATATTATTCACATACCTAGATTATTTTAGGTTACTATATGATGAGTTAAAAAGGAATCAAAAGCTCATAAATGTTATATACAGATCACCATTATAAGAGGCCTAACTGTATTTTGTTGGTTTGCTGACCCAAGCTGCGCTGGTGAGCTTTGAATAGGCAAAATTGCAGACCACAGCAGAGGATGCAACGAATCAGAGTGTGTTTGGCCTCTACATCACAGATTATACTTTCATTTTAACATATTGTGAAAAGAAAAATAAACTGTAATACGATCATTAAGTAGATGGCCCGCTGTATATTATCGAATAATAAATTAGGTGCAATGGCATGATATTATTCCCACATCTAATTGAATTTAGTTTACTATATGATGAGTTTAAAATGCCTCAATAAATCATAAATGTAACACCTATAAATTCACAATCGTACTAAAATTAATTTTACTAATAACATTTCAAAGCTGCAAAGTTTGATAATGTGTCATTAGAATTTGTATAATATGTGCAAGAACAGCTGTTTTATCTCAGTTTTTTTTTTAGTTTCTTTTTTAATAGATTTAGAAATGACTTTGATATGTGTCAAATGTAAAGTTTGACACGCCTCTTCTCGGAACGTTATAAGCCTTGCTTTAATAATATCAGTACAATAAATGCTTCATAGCACATATAAATATTATAAAATAGATTAATTTTATTTACTAGTCGTATTTTAATTTAATATATTGGACTCGGACGCATTTTCTTTGATCGAACTGCGTTTTCAACTTTTAGATACAACGATGCATCTAAAATAACATAAATACTGAAATATGCTGCACAAAACAAAGTTTGAATTTTGAAGAGGCGAAAACCTTTCTACAACATCATGTTAATCACTCTTCTCAGTTCATGTTATGCAAATCAGCCACTGAAGATTCATCGTGCGATGTGAAATGCACATAATAAGTCAGCCCGTTTAGCTAAAACTTGTAAATGAACATCCGATGCAAATGGCCTCAGATCCTTAAGATTCATGCATTACATTTCAGCTTAAAGTAAGATAATCACGAACGGTAGAGAAAGCTTAGTACAAATCGTGCATGGTTAAAACTAGAGAATTCCACACATGCTCGATAAAACTGAGGCTCGATGCGTGCAAGTCACTCCATTCAATAACTCTCCTTTCCTATTCTTCAATGGACGTGTTGACTAGTTTAGCACCATGTGTATGTTAGAAAGAACGTTTTCGCCTATTATGCTGGTCCTAGGACCAATATTATTGCTCCATCCTATGACAGAGCAAAGGATCATAGATCCTATAATGTGTGACATTAATGGTACTATTGGAATGCAGGATGTAGAAGTCCATCAGTGCTTAATTCCTGTCAACACCATACCTCCATTACCGCCGCATGCGACATGTTTCTGTGTGGTAATGGGATTGAATCTGGTTTCAGATATTTTCCTAATAGTATATGACTATAACATAAATTGTGGATCATAAGTAAAAGAACGTAACATTGCTCGAATGTTTTTCGACTAACCAATCATTTTAGGGTTAAGCTTCTTTTTTTTTTTCGCATTGATGTAGGTAGACTGCAAATTATAGGGCGTTTAACATAGATATCGGCTTTGTAAAGTTTGGTTTTATACATCTTAACATTGAAACAGTGCCAAGTTGCAGCTGCAAATATGTGATACAGTGTAGAAGCAGGTATCCTACGATTGTAGCACGTATAACCGGCAAATAATTATTTTGTGCACGTGTTGAGGATGAGGATTTATTCTTTCCACTTACGACTGATATTGCTACAGAGGATGGCTTACTTTATACATAGTATGGCCGAGAGCATTACAGAATAAAATACATTTTTCTTATTTTTCATGTACAAAGAAAATCTTAGGTTAAGTTATGGCCTTGATCACTGTCATTTGAGTCCAGAAAAAATATGTTTCTACGTTGTTAGTACAAACATACACTGTGTAAAACCTTTAAGTTATATTTACACCAAAAGAAGATATGTCCGTTCATTTTAGATGCTACAATTTGTAAGGTATGTCCAAAAAAAGTTAATTATCACACAAAATCCACGAACCTTTATCTTATTTCTAATTCCAGAGCTATCGAGATACAAAGACAAATCGGTTAGTCAAATTTATTTACTTTGCTTTTATCTGTTATTATCTATGTCTTAATTAAAAAAATGCTATACCTCCTATCAACGTCTATATTAACTTAACTTTCCATATCTTTATACTGTTAGAACAAATACTTTGATTCGGATGAGATTTCACGTAGGTAAAATGGTGAAACTTTGCATGAGAGAACGAACTATATGCAACAAATGTAGATGAAAGCTTTAGATGTAAACTCTTAGGCATAACACCTGTTGTATCAGTACTTCTAAAGCTGCGATTTCACACTTTCTTTTCTTAAAGAGAACTTTGTAATAATATATACATATTAGTCATGATTATCTGTGTTATGTTTTATAGGCAGCGTCAAAGTATGGTATGGCAGCCTGAAGAAAACTCGCCCAACTTCTAAACAGCAAAAGAATGACTAGAACATTTACAGAATTATCTCTTAGTCCGTTGGAAACGGCTATGTTCTCCGGGGGTAACATGTCATTAGATCTTTTCAGTGAAACTAATGAGAACAATATGACTGACAGCCAACTACAAGACAACCTAGTTCCAACAGGTGTCCAGGTTTTAATGTATGTGATGTATATAGCGATATCTCTTACTGCTATTGGTGGGAACGGTATCGTATGTTATATTGTACTTTCCGATCCCCGAATGCGAACTGTTACTAACTTTTTCATTGTTAACCTTGCAGTTGGTGACATTTTGATGGCTCTTCTCTGTATTCCCTTTACCTTTGTTGTTAATCTTATTCTGGGATCTTGGCCATTCGGAGCGGCTTTCTGTGTGATTTTCACTTACGCTCAGGCTGTTTCTGTGTTTGCTAGTGCTTATACATTAATAGCGATTAGTGTCGACAAGTATATTGCCATCATTAAGCCTCTGAAGCCACGAATGACCAAACTACAAGCTAAGTTACTTATTTTTGCTGTATGGTTGGTGGCACTGCTTACGCCTCTACCGACAGCCATCGTTTCTAAGCTTGTTCCCAAGAGCAACACCAATCGTTATCTCTGTACCGAGGTATGGACCACCCCAGTTCAAAGATATTACTACAGCATGGCCCTCATGACCTTACAGTACTTTCTGCCATTGATAGTACTCATTTTAACCTACACCAGGATAGCTATTGTTGTTTGGGGAAAGCGAACACCAGGGGAGGCTGAAGATACCCGAGATCAACGATTGGCTGCATCAAAACGAAAGGTGAGTGTTGTTGTTATATTCTTAGTACCCATTGTCACTTCAACATAAACAAACAAATATTTCTTCTGTTTACTAATTTCAAGAACCAAGATTATATATTTGTATACATTGCTAAACCTACTATATAAAGTAAAGTGTGTCAGGGAAAAAAATACACGGTCGTATATCTATTATATCATATCTGTTCCTTATACGCTTCTACATTCTTGATCAATCAGCATTAAACTTGACACAGTGATATAGGATGTCATGAGGAAAGTCATGAAGTGGTTGGGGGTTGGACTCCCTACATATTCTATATAATAAACGTCAATATGTGTGTGTATCTGTTCCTTATATGTTTCCACATGCCCTGATCAATCAGTACCAAACCTGACACAGGATGACATGAGAATGGTCATGAGGAGGGTTATACCCCCCCCCCCATCTAATTTTTTATTGATAGAATACTTGAAAACAGTATGTCTTTCCTTTCAGTATTGGTACCTTTATGTATTTTATTACACTTTTAATGTTTATTATGTTAAGAAAAAAAATAAAAGCACAATTTCCTATCCTTTATTACAAACGAATTTTTATTTCACTCGTCCAACGGACGGATACTTCAGCTAGTTATTAATAAAGTTTTACTTTGAAACTGTATTACCAACTCTATTTAAGTCACTTTCTCATTAGCTAAGGATGTAATGAAGCTTAACTGTTAACATTTTAAAAATTCTACATTCGTTCAAAGCAACTCATTAATAAGAAAAGGATTAACTGAAGTACAAATTATAGAGAAACAGCCAACAGCTAGTGTTTTGTAGATTCATTTTGAACGAAGAAACTTTTCAAATCAGAGTACTTGTTGCAGAGCTGTGGCATACTTTCAGTTACGTGTTTGATTATGAAAAAGAAAATTACAGTAGACATTAACAAATAATTTACGGGATAAAACGCTTAATAACATTCCTACTGCACCTAAGTTCCTTGTTGAACAAGAAACCAGAAACAAATTATATATAACATCAACATGACGCCCTGCAACATCTTCAAATTTATGCTTGCCCTTTCAGCTGTTAATCCCACTATTCGTTGGTAAAAGAGTAGCCCAAGAACTGGCGGTGGATGGTGTTGACTAGCTGCCTTCCTTCTAGTCTGTCGCTGTTACGTTAGGGAAAGCTGGCGCAGATAGCCATCGAGTAGCATTGTGCGAAATACAAAACAAACCAAATAAAAAAGGTATTTATTGTTTTGTTTTATAAGAAAGTATTTTTTCTGTTCTATAGGAAACTATTTCAATATTAAAAATATCAAAGGATATATACTATTTTCTTCAAATTAAATTTTTGGTCTTTTTTCTTTCTTTTCGCGTTTTTCTCCCAGATGTTCAAAATGGTGATTACTTCTTTTACAGTTTTTATATCCGAATGGCTATCTCTTTACATGTTATTTGTCACCAGAGATAGTAACCCAGGGATATTTTCCCACCTATAAATCGCACCGACATGGCCAAGTGGTTAGGGCGGTTCACTCGCAATCTGAGGGTCGCGGGTTCGAATCCCCATGCCACCAAACATGCTCACCCTTTCAGCCGTTGGGGCGCTATAATGTTACGGTTAATCTCACTATTCGTTGGTAAAAGAGTAGCCTAAGAGCTGGCGGTGAGT